AAAAAAAGACATTTTGTCAAATATAAAACCTGATTCGGAATTAGCGTGAAAAGTTGCATCGAATGATATATAATTTACAGCAGCTTTTTAGGAAAAAATTGTAAGTTTTCGTGGAAGGCTAAATTTGAGGCAGCACCGTGGTACTTGAGGCCAGTGGTTTTTATATCGTCAGAAAAGAGATCTGGAAGCCTACAAATAATTGTTTTATAGGTTTCCGAGTACGGCTGATTCAATGGCCTGATTTAAAAAATTGTAAACTGGTTTTGCAAAGGTTTTCTATAGACCGGATCTCTGGAAAATCCTTAAAACATGAATTTTGAACTTTGTCAGTGACTCCATTAGAAAGAGCACACTCGAAAACCTACAAAAACATATCTGAGAGAGCTTTCCAGCGCTTTAAAATCCAATGTCCACATACCTAGGCAAAATTGCCCACTGTGCACTGGAAAGCAGAAGAAATGACAACGAATCTAATCAATCAAATATTACTGAAAGGTATGCAACCGGCAATTTGCGTGTCATGACGATCAAGATCCAATTGCATGGGTACAAAGTATTAACGAACTATTTATGGCCACTGGTATCAGGAGAGAAGACCGAAGAAAATTACTCCGAATGTATTTGAGTGATGACGTTAAGAAATGGTATCGGAATTCAGAGCATGAAGAAGATTATGACGCATTTATACTTGAACTAGTTCGTTCATTTACATCATCTACACGAAGATTAATAACTTCATTAAAAGTAATAAATCATCGACAAGGCGTGACCGAATCAGTACAATCATATTATTGTAACATTTTGTATTTATGCAAGAGATTTAATCACGATATGACGGAATTCTAACAAATAATACATTTATTACGTGGATTAAAACCATCGATACAACAACATTTTATTATTAATGATCCCAAGAAATATACAGATTTATTAGAACACGCAAAACGAGTGGAATCCGCTACAACACTCACTCAACTAAGAGTTGCAATAATGACGGACACAACGGAAGAAAACACCACAGCTGCTCTTCAAAATTTTCGTCCAGATGGTTATTATAATCGAAATAGACCCCGTTATGATCGCAGATGGCCACAACAACAAAATTCTGTTAGTTATCCGCAGCCTCTAGTTCAACGACAACCAGGCACTTCATCCAGTCATAATTGTCATGGTGATGGACATTATTCAATGGACAATATATCAATGTCCAGGTCATTTAAACGAGTAATGGTGTCGCATGATGGTAGCGCTACCACACAACGACAACAGCCATCAAAACTATTGTATATACATATATTCGTCAACAATGCAAAAACACGTACATTGCTATCGGATCGACAATTTCGACTATTAACACATCGTATTGGCACAGAATTAAAGGCAGCCAACATATTCATTCAATCCCGACAACTTGTCGAATGGCCAACAATATTCAATTACACATATCCGATATGATGGTACTATCAATTACCAATTAACAATATCAACACGGAAAGTAATGTATTATTATTGACGATCTGTGTACAAATTTATTATTGGGAGGAGACTTTTGCGATAAATACAATGACAATATCAGCTAGGGAAGAAAATATTTAACATCAACAAGGTAACAGCAGAAAAGGGTAAAATTTCAACAATAACCGAACGCACAGCAAGTGTTTCATCTTAAGACCATGAATGACATTGTAATCCCACCATTACCGTCAATCAAGCGGCAACATCGTCACCATCCATGTCGGTGAAGTTCACCCCGTCGTCTAGAACGACAAATAAACAACATGTTATTGCACCCCATGCTATATTGACAATGCCAAAACCACAACATTAACACGATTGAATATCACAACATCCAGTAAATGGATCCCACAAGGTGCGACATTAGGACAAATTAAATATCATGAAGACAACACATGCTGTTACGTGCGTCATGATTCATGTAGTATACAACACCAACAGAACACGTCCACAACAAATCCAATTTCATCGAAGTCAAAATCCTATTCGTCCATTCATAGTACAATTCAAGATCTAACATCACATCTTTCACGTCAACAACAAGGCCAAATACTATCCATATTGATCAAACACAAAACAGTATTTGATACACCAAACCATCAATTATGAACACCAGCAACATCAATCATCGTATTCCAATTCTCCCACAGCATCAACCGATTCAATCTTATTCATATCGTAAAGCAGCCAAAGACACTCAAATCATTGATGAACAAGCCAAGGAAATGTTGGATAATCATGTTATTCGTCCAAGTGCCAATCCATGGTTCGCACCAGTCGTCATCATCAGAAAAAGAATGTTTAGCCATGGTATGGTGTATTACCAAACTACGACCATATCTATACTGACAAGAATTCACACTCATCACCGATCATCATCCATTATGTTGGCTAAATAAGCAGTCATCAAAAAATGGGCACTAGATCGTTGGTCCTTACAATTACAAGAGTACGCATTTGATAGTAATCATACCCCTGGATCACCCAATTGTGTTGCCGATTGTTTATCACGATATCCGATTGAACAGCCAGACGATGTCGTTGAGGAAGAGTTGGAAATTATGCATGGTCAAATTATCAGCGTACAACCTATCACTTTGGGCACATCACCAATATCTGATTCATCCAAGATCCAAGATCAAGAACGGAAGGATAAAACAATCCAACACATAAGCGATCAACTGATCAATGGAAAACGACGATTGCCATATACAATGGAAAATGGTATTTTACGCAGAACTATGCATCGTTATGGTCAAACACCCTTTAAGTTACCAGCCACCAATGATTGAGCAATTATTACAAGCATATCATGATAGTCCAATCAGTGGACATTTAGGTGTCAACAAAACCTGGTACACGATTCGGGATCGATATTATTGGCCAAGCATGTACAATTAGATTAAACAATACATATCATCATGTTCAAAATGCCAACAGTTTAAAATTTCACGATCAAGACCAGCTGCAAAATTAGAACGAATTGATCTACCTACTGGTATGTTGGACTTAATGGGGTTAGATTTCGTTGGACCAGCCATCATCTAATGGCAACAAGTATATTTTAGTCTGTACCGATTATCTATCTCGTTATGCAATTACACAAGCCACAACCAATTGTACAGCAGAAACAGCAGCCCAGTTCCTAGTGGAGAAGGTCATACTTTAATACGGTGTATCAAAAGAATTATTAACAGATCGTGGTGTTTGTTTTATGGCAAATGTGTTTGAATCCATGGCTTCCAGATGTGGCAGCAACAACCTATCATCCCCAATGTAACGGACTTACGGAAAGATTTAGTGCCACATTATTTGTCGAATCAATCGGAACATATGTTAACCAATAACAAAGTGATTGGGATGATTACTTGCCAAATGTCACATTCGCATATAACACATCCAAACAATCCACAGCCCAAATGGAACCACTCAAGCTGATGTATGGTTGAGACACAATTCTCCCCTTTGATACACCTAGTCAAATCACAAAATTATCATCGGTCGACGATTATTATTCACAACTGATTAAATTTTTCGAAGAAGCCAAATCAACAGCATGGTACAACATCAGAAAACATAAAATGTGTACAAACAAACACATCCTAACGAGCGATAGGACCTTAAAACATTACAACATGGTCAATTGACCTTTCTTAAACAAATGATGGCTAAGAATCTGCGTAAACTTCGACTCAAATATTACGACTCATTCCAGGTTATACAACCGATCGATCATCTCAGTCATGCAGTTCAACACGTCAATGACGGCGCTTCCAGCGGTCAACGACGACAATACAATGTTCACATATCATTTACGAACAAAGTGGCAGATTGTTACAGATACCGTCAGTAAGGCTATTTACGCACAACCAGATTTCTGTTTACGTTTGTTCAATTTAAAAACTTTTTTCTTTTTAAAGATGAGCGCGCCGCTTCATCTACTGACGGGGGAGGTGTGTTAGGTACAAAAACGTTTTTCATCACGGCTTCACATTCTTATCTGGTCTGATATTCTTATCTCTGTACCGTACGATTTTCATCCATTATACATACGACTGTATTTTTGTGTTAACGTACAGTAGTTATCTTTCTCAGTCGAATAAACACATGGTCACTATCAACTTCACACTATTCACTACAGGCCAGCACGGAGAAATCTTATTTTCCGCGACCACCTATGATCGATGACTGTCTATCAAACTATTCTGCTATTTGCAACTAGAGCGCTCATACGAATGCGACCTCAATGTTTGAGCTATATCATGCTACACTCCTCCATAAATCACCTTTTCCGCAAATTAATTAATCCAAGTATTCCAAGCAATTTCTTCGTTACAAACACACATACACAAAACTACTTACGCGCTGTTGAAGGTAGAGTCCATGACGTCGTGGTCGGTGGGGTAGACGCTTCTGAAATGTTAAAAGCAACCTTTACAACATTTTGATATATATCAGAGTTTCCAATGACACTTCACCGGTGAAATGAATCAAATTTCGTAAGAAACTGTGAATCGTGTCATGAGAAGTTTCGGCTTTCAGCCAGGGTTGTGCATAACTTGCGTGAAATAGCAGGCGAATGGCTTATTCCATCTGAGGTAGGTTTCCACTATATTCTTAGAATTTATGCTGAAACGGAACGTTATGGCAATTTTCCAGCGCACCCACTACTTGACGAAAACTTATCTGAGACAAATGGTGACATAATATATCAGAGCAGTTCAGAACAACAGTCACAGAATAATAATATCATTCTTTTCCCTCTTCTTACCTTCCACTAGAGCGAGAATGGAATGATTAAATCCGCTTAGAGCTGGCCGGTTCTATTTCCAACCGTCTTTTGATGATCTTTGAATGCTCTCGCCTTTTCAGGATTAGTGACAAACTAAATACTCCCTCACTCTCTCAACACAACTTACGCGGTTTCGAGGATAAAGTCGCTGACGAAGTTGTCGGCGAGGTGGACGTTTCTGAAATGTTAAAAGCAACATTTTGATATATATCAGAGTTTCCAATGACACTTCACCGGAGAAATGAATCAAATTTCGTAAGAAACTGTGAATCGTGTCGTCAGAAGTTTCGGTTTTCAGCCTGGGTGCTGCGCAACTTGCACGAAATAGCAGGAAAATAACTTATTCCATCTGAGGTGGGCTTCCACTGTATGCTTAAAAATTATGACCTCTCTTCTACTGATTCGGCTAACAGAGATGCTCATTCTGTATGGTGTCAGAAAGTTCGATGTGATGCCTGAACGACGAAAACGGAATGTCTCGCTTGTCTTCCATTGTTTAGTCGATACTGTTGACTAACTAATCAACGTAT